TTTACAATAGCTACCAAATAAATAAATAAATAAATACTTGGGAATAAATTTTACCAGGGACACAAAAGACCTATACAAAGAAAACTATAAAACACTACTTCAAAAAGCCATAAGAGAGCTACATAAATGGAAGAGCATACCATGTTTGTGGATAGGAAGATTGAATATAGTGAAAATGTCAGTACTATCAAAACCATTTTATACATTCAAGGCAATCCCAATCCAGATACCATCAACATTCTTTAAGGATATGGAAAAAGCAATCACTAATTTTATGTGGAAAGTAGAGAGACCTCGGATAAGTAAAGCACTGTTGAAGAAGAAAAACAGTAGGAGGTCTCACACTCCCAGATCTCAAAACCTGCTACACAGCTACAGTAGTCAAAACAGCCTGGTGTTGGTACAATGACAGACCCATAGACCAGTGGAATAGAATTGAGAATCCAGAAATAGATCCATCAACCTATGGTCAGCTGATTTTTGACAAAGGGCCAAAATTCATTAAATGGGGAAAAAAATGTCTCTTTAACAAATGGTGCTGGCAAAACTGGATATCCATTTGCAGAAAAATGAAAAAAGATGTGTACCTCACACCATAAACAAAAACTAACTCCAGATGGATCAAAGACTTAAATGTAAAACCTAAAACTATAAAATTCCTCAAGGAAAAACTAGGGGCAAATTTAGGGGCCCTAATATATGGCATAAATAGACTATCAGGCATAACCCAAAATGCACAAACAGCAGAAGATAAACTAGATGGATGGGATCTTCTAAAAATCAAATTTTTAATGTGCTTCCAAAGACTTCTCCAAAAGAGTCAAAAGAGAACCTACAGATTGGGAAAAAATATTCAGCAAGGAGATATCTGACAAGGGACTTATCTCTAACATTTATTGTAAACTCCAACACCTCAACAACAAAAAGCAAGCGATCCAATTTAAAAATGAGCAGGAGATAAGAGTAGACACTTCACCAAAAAGGATATTCAGGTGGCCAACAAACACATGAAGAAATGTTCACAATCATTAGCCATTGTTGTTGTTGCTACGTGCTGTTGAGTTGGCCCACAACTCATAGCGACCCCTCCTTGGGTTGCCGAGGCAGTATCACTGCGGAAGTAGATTGCCCAACTTTCCTTCTGAGGAGTGGCTGGTGGGTTTGAACTGCCAGCCTTCTGGTTAGCAGTCAAGTGCCTTAGGCCCTATGCTACCAGAGCCATTAGAGAGATGCAAATCAAAACAACAACAAGATACCACCTTGCCTCAGTACTGATAGCAAAGTTCACCAAGACAAAATAAATGCTGGTGAGGATGCGGAGAGATTGGGACTCTCATACACTGCTGGTGGGACTATAAAATGGTACAACCACTATGGAAAGCAGTATGGTGATACCTTAAAAGCTTGGAATTAGAAATCCCATTTGATCTAGCAATCCCATTAGTAAGTGTGTATTCTAAAGAAGTGAGAGCCAGGATGAGAAGAGATACATGCACACCCGCGTTCATCCCAGCACTGTTTATAATAGCAAAAAGATGGAAACAACCTAGTTGGAATAATGGATAACCAAACTGGTACAGACACACAATGAATTATTATCGAACCCTAAAGAATAATGTAGTATCTACAAAATAACACACAACGTGGATGAACTGGAGGACATGATGCTTAGTGAAATAAGTCAATCACAGAAGGACAACTGTTGTATTAGTTCATTATTGTAAAGAGTCAAGGAAAGGTTTATATATGGAAGGAAACGTTCTTTGTTGGTTACCAGGGGTGAGGTGGAAAAGAAACAAAAAACCGTACATAGCTCATGTAGTTGTTCTGAGAATAAACGAGTTACTATGTGTAAAACATGTAGAAGAGTAACTGCTTAACAAATATTATCTATTATTGTTATCCAAAAAAAAAAAAAAGATTACAGCCAAGAAAACCCTGTGGAGTAGTTGTACTCTGCAACGTGGGGTCACCGTAAGTCAGAATTGACTTGAGGACAAGTAACATCAGCATATGTGGCAACCAGAAGGCTATGTATGGAGCCTACAGTGAGCCCTTTTTTGTGGAGATTGGGAGGCTAATTTAAAGGCCGGTCTGTGGTGGCACTCTGGAAGACTGTTTCATGCAATTTATACCTGCCTCCCTCCTCTGGAATGCCATTTGTTTAACATAACCTTTTATAAAAGGCAACTCTTTGGGGGCTCTGGGAACCCAGTCATTAAAGCCAGGCCACAGGGCTGCTGCTCAGGCTTCTTCCGTTCCTCTGGGAAGCTGCTTGATACAATATCAAGAAGCCTTTTCATCAGACCCAATACGTGGGGCGTGCTGAGGGCTACTGTGTAAGACCGGGACATGCGGCCATTTGGAGGCAGTTGCATAGAGTCTGTACAAAGGAAGCCACCTCAGACGGTTGGTTGTCTGACTGCTGGTGCTTGTGAGGCTCACATTGACCCCTCTGGAAGAATGCTTCATACAGCCAACAGAATGTGCTTCACATAGCCAGACTAAGGCCTTTTATTCCAGGTCATTCCCACATGGCTAACAGGAGCTACCATGAGGCTGTTCCCTGGAGGGTTGGTTGATATAACCAATAGCATCCTGGCACTGTAAAGGCACCATGTGGAAGACTGGTTTCTAAAACTAAGGCAAAATCTGAGGAGCCATTTCACATGGCCTCCAGACAAGGCTCCAATATGTAAGGAGGCCAGTACTTCAGGAAGTTAGGAGAGCACGTTAGAAGACTGTTTCATCTGATGGCATATGGCTCCTCCCCCAAAAATTCCTTGATATGTATTTAAAAGGCCAAGTCAGAAGAGGTCCTGGGAAGCCTGTGGCATCAGGCCATAGACCACTCAGACGGATATGGCCAGTGTGCCGCTTCGCCATGGAAAGTTGCCTCATATGGCCAACATGAGGCCTCCTGAGAGACTGGTGTTTAAGATCAGTCATGAGGCCACATGAGAGGCCATTTCAGGTGCCTAATACAGAGGCAGTCTGGAAAGCCATTGGAAGACTGGCTCACATGGCCCTCCTGAAGCTCCCGTCCCTGAAGATGGTCTGTCACACAGTGCCACCATCAGTGTCTCTGAAGGTCTTTTTATAAGGCTGTTCACTGACAAACTCTTGAGTATTTCTAAGGCTGTTTCATGTGGCCAAGAGAAGACTTGTACAGCCAATGTTAGGCCTGTTTCCCAAAAAACTTTCATATGGTCTTCAAGAGAGTATGTCCTGGCCAACAGGATGCGAACCGGCCTCCAAGGCCAATTTGCCACACAGCCTCAGAGGCCAGTTTGTGAATAGCAAATATAAGGTCACTTTGGAGGGCCAGGTTACAAAGCCACACGTGAAGACACTTGGGGGACCAGGTTGATGAAGCAGCACTTTGGGCTACCTTAGGAGGCTGGCTCTGTAAGATATCCATATGAGCCCTGTGAGGGGCCATTGTGTGAGGCCATCCTGGGAGGCCAGTTACAAAGCCCACAGTCTGCATCCCAGGAAAACTCCTTCTAGCCCATTGGAAACCCTCTGGGAGGCTGTTTTGTAAAGCCATTCTAAGAGCTTAATTTACAAAGCTGGTACACAAGGCCCCAGTGGAAGCCAGTTTTATAGTAAGGCAGACAAATGGTCATTGGGGAGGCTTTTTTATAGACCTTTGTGAAAAGCCAGGAAATGAGGCCCCAGAGGTCTGTGAGATGCTTGAGATGAGACTTCTTGAGGTTGCTTTATAAGGCTTATGTAAGACATTCAAGATAAAACACCCAGGGAGGCCACTTGGTGATCCTTTTGTGAGGCCCACCTGGCTGTCATGTGTGTGGCCAATGGATTAGACCGCCCTGGGAGACCAGACTGTGAGGCTTTTCAGGAACTCCAGGAAAGCTGTTGAGGAAATTCATACCAGACATGAGCCTTCCAGGAGGCTGAGTCTCTAGGTGGGTAACATGGTAAACAGTTAACATGCTGAGTTACGAACTGAAGTTGGAGTTTTGAGTCCATGCAGAGGTTGGAGTCCAACTGAGTTGGACACAGTCCAACTGAGGTTGGAGGTTCAAGTCCACGTGAAGGCTTGTTTTTCAGAGGGAGATCACCAGGCCTGTCTTCTGAAGTGCCTCTGGGTGCACTCCACCCTTCAGTTAACACCCAAGCACGTTAACAGTATGCACCCCCTTTCTGGACTCCCCTTTCTGTATTACAAAACACAGACTCACTGCCATTGAGTCGATGCTGACCATTGCGACCCCCGTTGGGTTTCCAAGGCTGTGAATCTTTACAGAAGGAGACTGCCTTATCTTTCTTCCATGGAGCAGCTGGTGGATTCAAACTACTGACCTTTTGTTCAGCAGCCTTCACCACTGCACCATGAGAGCTCCTTCCCCTTTCTGTATAGGTGTTACGTATTTCCAGGTTTCTTCCTGAGGAGTTAAGAACTCATTCCTTTAACACCCTCACAGAGTGCCTACTCTGAGCCAGTCCTGATTTTAGGCTGTAGGAAAATGGAGAAAACAGGCATGTTCTTGTCCCAGAGAAGCTCACACTCTAGCACTGGAGAGCAGACAAAACAGGTATTTGTGGTGCATTGTGACATGTGCTGCAAGAGAGACTTATGCATGAGAACACAAAATGTATTCAGAGAGTCATGGTGGGCTTCACACAGCGGGTCATTTAAAATGGACCTTCATGGTTGGGTAGGAGTTTGCCAAGGCAGAGAGAAAGGTTGCTCAGGGCAGTCCAGGCAAGGAGAATGTATGACCCTGTCTAAGCAAACATTTATCTGTTACCCACTGCATCCCAGGGGCTATCTCGGGTCCTCAGGATACAGTGGTGACCCAGACAGGTGTGGGTCCTGCCTCGCAAAGTTCCTGTCTACAAGAGAAGATTATCGTTAGACAGTTGTCACAGATGATGTGTATTAGAAAGGTGGGAACAGGTCTTAGGGGACCAAGGCTGAATGGGATCTGTAACTTTTGCTTCTTCCTCCACCAGGCTCTGTAAGACTAAGCCAGATGGCAGAAGGCAGCGGCCATCTTGGAGACCCCCAAACAGGAAGAGGTGCCCTCTGGGAGGCCCTCAGGGCGCTCCTGCCATGCAGGAAAGACGACCTGCAGCTGGACCTCGGAGAGAAGGTGGAGAGGAGCGTGGTGCTGTGGCTTCAGCGAGCCACGGAGCTCTTCTACGAGGGCAGAGGGAGTGAGTGTCTGCAGGCGAGCGAGGTGATCCTGGACTACTCGTGGGAGAAGCTCAACACTGGGCCATGGCGGGATGTGGACAAAGACTGGCGCCAGGTTTACGCCCTCGGCTGCCTTCTGAAAGCTGTGTGTCTGTGCGAGGTGCCAGGGGATGCCGCCACTGTGACTGCGGCCCTGAGGGTCTGTGACATGGGCTTGCTGATGGGGGCGGCCATCTTTGGGGACGTCCTTGTTAAAGTTGCCAGCATCCTCCAGGCACACCTTCTCTCTGCAAAAAGGCCTGCCCAAGGCCCGACCTGGGAGCAGCCCATCACAAAGGTATCGGGGTGAGAGTGTCCCTGACCCCCTCAACATAATCCAGCAGCTGACTCCACCCTGGCTGAGAATGCTGTCTCCTTGCATTTTGTACGGAGTGGCTCAGGCCATCTTCTCAGTTCATAAATGTTTTTCCGTTTCTGCAAAAGCACATCCTTTTCAGGGGAGAAGGAAGGTGGCAGCTTTGTGGTTCCTGAGAGAAACAGGGCAAGTGGATTATGTGGGAGAACTGCCACCAGCTTACCCCACTTCTTTTTTCCAAATTGTGATTTGGGCGAAAGTTTACAGAGCAAATTCATTTTCTGTATGGAAGTTCATGCACATTTTGTTTCATGACATTGACTGCAATCCCCACAACATAACAGCTTTCTTCCCACTTCCTCCCCATGGTCACCTTTCCCGTGTGTTCTTTCCTATGCACTCCTGCCCTCTGAGCTATCTCCCTGAACCAGTACTGCCCTTCTCACCCCCCTGGTTGATTGTTCTGGGACTGTACCTACCTGGTATAAATGTTCACCTTACATGCCTATTATTTGGATGGAAGCCTCAGGAGTGAGTTCAGTTCCAGGCCCAAAGGGTGACTAGGGGTCATATTCTCGCAGGTTTCGCCAGTCTCTATCAGACCAGTGACTTGGCATCCTTCTTACAGCTTTTTCCTGTCCTGGCCGCCTCTGTCTCTGGCTCCTGAGGTGGATGAAACTCTACAACTGGCTGACTTCTGTTCCATGTGACCAGCCTGCCACATGCTTTACATCCCTGTCTGTGTCCTTTCTAGTGTTTCCATGTGCATGCCAGGAAGTATCCGACAGAGAGAAGGGGCTCACTGGGAAAGCATTGAAACACAGGCCTGACTCCCAACACTGCCAGGCCAGGCCGCTAACCCCTGACTCAGGCTCCTCGCGGGTCACGTGGCAGCAAGAATACTGGCCCCAGGAAAAAAAGAGCCAGGACTGTTTGGGACATGGGGGAATGTGATTACGGGTGCTTTTACATTTTTCTTTTTCTAAATACATTCCTGTATTTTCCTAATTTCCTATAATCAGTATTATTCTTAAGTCAGAAAAATGCAATGGAAGTTGTTCATGCACATGCATGTAAGCAAGCTAAAAGGAAGTGCTATGAACAGGGAGAGAAGTTTACACCAGATGTGTCAGAGTGGCTGTCTTTATCACGAGTTGTCATGACAGAGATTGACGGCAGAAAATCTCTGGCCTTGGGAGATAGAGAGGCCAGAACATGAACAGACTGTTAAGTGGGAGGTGGGTCTCTTAAAGAAACACATGGAGACAGAGTGGACCTCATCTCTGGTCAAAAGGATGAGGTCCACTCTGTCTCCATGTGTTTCTTTAATAGACCCACTTCTCCCTTGTGAACAGTCTGGTCAAAGGAGAAGGTCTGATGGCATAGTGCCTAAGGCACTTGACTGCTAACTAGAAGGCTGGTGGTTCAAACCCATGAGCCACTCCTTGGAAGGAAGATTGGGCAATCTACTCTAGATACTGCCTTAGAAACCCAGGGAGGGGTCGCTGTGAGTCAAAATGACTCAACAGCAGTGACTTTGATTTGTTTTTTTTCTGGTCAAAAGAGAGAGACCCAAACAGCAAAAGCAGCAAGGTGCCCCTTGGCTGTTACATCAGAGAAGAGTGTGTCATCCAGTACCCAGAATGCTGAGGGGCCATTTGTGTTTGATTGACCCTTCAGAAGGCAGGGCAACATGGAGATGAAGGGACAACTAACTGCTCCCTGTACCCCAGGACCACACTGTCCCCTGTGCCAAGTCTGTCCCAAGGGAATATGGGTGGCCTTTCAGCTCCAGAGTGGTCCTCTAGTGGGGCAGTGTCTGGGCAGTATATAAGGAATGGGGAAAGAGGCCAGGGTGGGAGTCAGCCCATCACTCACATGAGTGACGCAGGTGCGTGTCCTGGCCTCTGGGTGCCCCCATCCCCTTGCTTGTAGAACAGGCTTCATTCAGCAGCGTGAGCACCAGCAATGGCCCAGATGTGCCAGGGGTGGAGGGAGCAGCACAGATCGGCCTTAACCCTGTCTTCTGGAGCTTACGTGCCAGCAAGACTGTCAGAGAACTTCCTCTCTTCGGTGGTGAGATAGATGGAGTCAGCTGCTGCAGACGGGGCGGTCAGGGAAAGCCTCTTTGATGACAGCACATGGGAGAATGAGAGCCCACAAAGAACACAAGCTCGAGGCCATATCACATCAGCTGTGGAAGGAAGGTTCACCGACACCACTGCTGCAGTTGCCGCAAATGAGCGCTGTGGGGTCCGGGAGCGGGAGGGCAGGGCCGTGGGAGTGTGGGCTGACGTCTGCTGGCCTGTGGGGTCCGGCAGTGGGACTACAGGGCCAACATCTGCCAGTCGTGGCTGTGGGAGCACGGGGCTGACGCCTGCCAGCCATGGCAGTGGAAGCATGGGCCAACTTCTGCCGGCCATGGCCATGGGAGCGTGGGCCGATGTCTGCCAGCTATTGGTCTGGGGAGCTTTCCATGGGGCATCGTACCTCCCAGCAGCTGAGGGAGCCCAGGCTCAGAGACAGGAAGTCACTTGCTCAGGTCATCCATTTGGGAGATGGCTGAGTAAAGTAACAATGCAGCCCCCAAGAAGGTGTAAGGACAGGGTGGCCCCACAGATACTGCTTAAGATAAAGTCCTGGGGGAAGAGCTAGGGCTGCGTATTCATTGTGAGTCCAACTACCAGTACATTGGAGATAAGGGTGCGTGAAAAGATAAAGGAATATACAGGAAAAAGGAAGAATACTTGTCGGTCAGATGGTAGAGTCTAAGGGGGTGAGCAGTATTTCTATAAAAGCAATAGATTGCTTTCAAAAATTGAACAGGTTTTTTTAATGAAATGGTAAAGGAAAAAATCTTGATCTCATCTATTATTATCATCATTGGCTCCCAAGCTGTCCTACTATTACTGCAGATTCTGCAAGGAATCTCTCGCATTTTGACTTTCTGTGGTTGCTGCCATTTTGTTTTGTTTTCAAACAGAGGGCAAGGAGTGATTGCATCTCAATTCCAGATGTGAAGTTGGAAAGTGCCGTTCCCCGGCTTTACTGCCCATCCCTGGAACATTTCAGGAAACAATTTTTGACTCCAGAGAGACCTGTGATCTTGGAAGGTGTGGCCAACCACTGGCCATGCATGAAGAAGTGGAGGTGGGTTTCCACATAAGAACAGTGAGGTCCCTTTCCCCATTTTAGGGTCCCCCAAGGACTCCCTGATGTTCTCCCTCATCCTCAAGTGCATGTAGCCTTGCAGACTTTTCTCCCAGCCCCTCGACTGATCACTGAGGAGTTAAAAAGAATAAAAAGTACAGTGCTTTGAATTTATGCCATAAGTTATTAGAGTCTTACTTTCTACTGCTTCCTTGGTCTAACTAGTTTTTTTTTTTTTTTTAATTTTATTGTGATTTAGGTGAAAGTTTACAGAGTAAATTCATTTTCCATACAGCAGTTCACATACACTTTGTCTCATGACATTGACTGCATTTTCCCACAGTGCAACAGCTTTTGAGTTTTGTTCCACATTGTTCTCCACTCTATCCAGGATGTCCTACATAGATCCCCCTGTGAGTGGTTGACAGTGGTACCTGGGCACCATCTAATTCTTCTGGACTCATATTCATATAGGCTGAGGATCACGTGGTGTACCAGTCCCTTGGACTAATTGTTTCCATGCATCTTTGGTTTTCTTCATTCTTCTTTGCTCTGGATGAAGAGAGACACGTCATTGCATCTAGGATGGCCGCTTGCAAGCTTTTAAGATCCTAGTCACTGCTCGCCAAACTAGGATGTGGAACAATGTTAACAAGTGCCTAAATGGCATTCATTTTGTTGTTGTTGTTATTGTGGTTTGGGTGAAAGTTTAGAGTAAATTCACTTTCCATACAGCAGCTCACGTACACTGTGTCTCATGACATTGACTACAATTTCCCACAATGCAACAGCTCCCCTCCCACTTCCTCCCCATAGCCACCTCTTCCCTGTGTCCTTCCCTCCATGCACTCCTGCCCCCCAAGTTGTCTCCCTGTGCATATACAGCCCTTCTATTCTCCCATGATTGATCTCTCCAAGGAGTGTATCTCCTAATATAAATGTTCAGCTCACATGCCTGTCTTTTGTTTGGCTGGAAGCCACAGGAGTGGGTTCACTTCCAGAATAGCTGAGGACCATAGTCTCAGGGATCCACCAAGCTCTATCAGACCAGCAGAGCTGGTCCTTTTTTTTCTTTTTTTTTAACTAAATGGCACTCTTACATTGACTCTGCTATGAAAGTTTGCAGAATGGTAAGAACTCTGTGGACCTTCTCAGAGCCCTGGGGTTTAAAAGTAGAAGTAAAAGCCCAAGATACACCCCCTCAACCCACTGGGACTCCATGGTCCCTGGTTGATGCTGCCTCTGCTTTACCCTCCCACCCTATCTCAGATTTATCAGGCGGCCAGAGGTTGTCCATAAGGGCACGGCCGTACAGAATTCCAGAACTAAGGACCTGTATCTTGAGAAAGGTCAATCTGCTCAGCCCATTTTTGTGGTGGTTTTTGGAGGCAGTGGCTCCCCCTGAGACGGGTGTGTGGAGGAGTTCTGATGCAACGCCTCGTCACAGCAAACGTTCATTACTAGTTTCACTAAGTACCAGGCATCCTGCAGGCACTGGCCATGTTTTATCTCATCTTACCCTCCCTGGTTTTCACACGGCAGGTATTGTCATGATCCCCATTTTACAGGTGAGGAACAGGGGGCTTAGAGAGGTAAGGTAACTTGCTAAAGTTCGCTGGTCTATAGCTGGCTGGGCCTGAATTCTGTCCCAGGCCACTGGAGTTCAGAGACCAGGCACTTCACCGCCTCCTGTGTACTGCCCAACATTTTCTCAAAGGTGATTTCTACTTAGTGCCAAGAGCAGCCACGAGAGAAGCAAGCAGGGGAATGAAGCAGCCCAGCAAGGATGTCAGCAAACCAGAATTTTTGGCTCCATCTGTAGCATGTACTAGCTGTGTGACTTTAGGCAAGCAACTCCACCTCTCTGTGCCTGAATTTCCCTGTCAGTAAAATGGGCAGTAATCACGGTTTCTCCCTCATGGGAACTTTGTGAGGATTGAGTGGGAGACTATATGTTAAGGACACAGAGCATAGCCCCCAACGCTGGTCGTGCCCGTAAGCATTAGCAACAGTCATGATGCTAATGATGTATATTTTTCTAACAGCTTAGAATATATCCAAGAAATTGCTGGCTGCCGAACTGTCCCAGTGGAAGTGGGTTCCAGGTACACAGATGAAGAGTGGTCCCAGACACTCATGACCGTCAACGAGTTCATCAGCAGGTACATCGTGAATGAGGTGTGTTACCATAACGTGTTTCTTCTAGTGCAAGAGAGAGAGCATTGTGTTTGGGCAGATAACCTCCCCGGAAGCAGTGGGAGCTCTCTGGAGGATTAGCCTACAGTTCTGGCCAGTAGGAGGGGCAGAGCAAGGGAGGCAGCCTGCTGGGCAGGCAGGACAGCTGAGATCTCGTCCAGAGTCTTTGTGGGGTTTTTTGTACAATTCAGTGGTTTGAGTACATTCATAAGATCAGGCAACCATCCACATTGTCTAATGCGAGAACATTTTCATCACCCCAAAAAGTAACCCTTTACCCATAAGCTATCACTCCCCACCCCCCTCCCCTCCACTCAGCCCCTGCCCACCACTAATCCACTTTCTGTCTCTATGGGTCTGCCTATACTGGACAGTTCACCTAAATAGAGTCATACAATAGGTGGCCTTTGTGTCAGACGTCTCTCTTTCACTGAGCACAGTGTTTTCAAGGTTCATCTATGTCATAGCATGTACAGTATCCATACTTTATTCTTTTTTATGGCCAAATAACATTCCCTTGTAAGGATACACTATATTTCATTTATCCACCCATCACCTGGTGGACTTTTGGGTTGATTCTGCTTTTAGACAGTTATGAAAGATGCTGCTGTGAACATAGTGTGCCAGCTTTTGTCGGGACATGTATTTCCAGTTCTCTTGGGTACATGCCTAGGAGTGGAATTGCTGGGTCACATGGTAACTCCATGTTTAACTTTCTGAAGAACTACAGAGTTTTCTCTAGGCAGCTGCACCATTTTGCCTTTTGGGATTCTTAACAGTAAGGGCAGTGGGTGGCTTCCTCTTCCTGAGACCCAAGTCACAGAGAATGGAGTTGCCAGGTCCTCGAGTGGCTGCACTGTTCCTGTTGGCTCATCACGGGGGAAGCCTGCATTGGGTGCACAGAACCTAGGGAGGGGATGTTCACCCAGCATCTGTGGTCTCGGCTGCCTGTCCTGGCCCTGAGGGAGGGTCCTTCACAAGGGTCCAGGGATTTCGCATCAGTGGCCTGCACTGCCACACACTTCCCAACACCCCACGCCTGAAGGCAGCTCCAGGTCTAGGCACTGACATTTCCAATCACATTTAATCAAAGGGTCCAGGCCAATGATCATGCTGGCCTAACACTTTTTCCCACAGGCCTTCTCAGCCTTGTAATTGAAACCCTGAGCTGTTACCTAGCACCCTGTCCCTGCCTCCACCTTTCCCACCCTTCTGCCTCACTCCTACACCTCCAGCCTCCTTCATGGGCGCCGAGTGTTGGTCTCTGCCTGTGGCCTCCTCTGTCAGGGCTCGCTGACCCTGGTCCATTCCTGCCTTCTCCTGTCCTCCTCCCCTCCCACCTCACCTGCACTGAGTCCAAGTCACTTGTGGCCTAGACAAGGGATCTGTGGTGTCACTGGGTTACCGTGTCCACGTTTAAGGTTAATCCAGCTGGGAAGGCCTGATGCTGTTGCCCTCTGCTGGGAGGAAGCCTGGTTTGTAGAGGAGAGAGACATAACTGAGGCCAGTTCACAGAGTGGGCCAGATGATGAGGTTTGGATTAGTCAGAACAGGGTTGAATCCTTGCTAGCTATGTGGCCTTGACTTGTTATTTAACCTCTTTAATCCTCAGGTCCCTGATTTATAAAATGCAGTGAACAGCGCCTACATCACAGTGATGTTGTGAGGGTTTGAACATAAAGCCCCTAGTGCAGGGTGCATGGTCAGTGCTTGGTAGATGTAGTCAAGGTTCTCTTACTTCTGGGAGGTAAAGAACATTCACGGGGCCTGGCATGTGGCAAACTCTCAGTGGCATTTGTTGGAAAGAAGAACAGAGAATGAAGGAGAGGGATGGATGGACAGAGGGACTCAGGAAATTGTTGAGAGGGACCTTTAGTCTACTTCCAGGACCTTCCACTCAGTATTAGCTTTAGAGCTCCTACATCAAAGCAGGTTTTGCTCTTTGGAGTTAGGATAGGACTGGTCCCCAGAATCACATCTATTCTGCCCCATCTGACCCCCACAGAGGCCCCTCTGACATCTGCAGAGAACCCCTTGAGCACCAGATTGAAAGGTACTGACCTTTTTCCCCATCTGATTGGCAAAATACAAAATGCTGCTGTCCAGCGGCACCCAGTGCTGACAAAAACAGGAAAAGGGACACTCACGTTAATTGCTGGTAAGAATATAAATGTTTAACCTTTGGGAAAATAATGGAAGAAGCTATTAAAAGTTACAATCCATATACTCTTTGACTCATTGCTCCTTTTTTTTTTTTAATGCATCTTATTGAAATATAATTTATATACATTGAAATACATAAAACTAAAGTGACATGGGTTAATGCTTCTTTTTTGCAGTGTTCCCTCCCCTCCCCTCCTACCCCTGGCAACCAACAAAGAACGTTTCCCTCCATATATAAACCTTTCCTTGACCCTCCACAACAATAAACTAATACTATATTTGTCCTTCTGTGATTGACTTATGTCACTCAGAATAATGTCCTCCAAGATCATCCATATTATGTGGTGTTTTGCAGACTCTACATTATTCTTCAGTGCTGCATAGCATTCCATTGTGTGTATGTACCATAGTTTGGTCATCCATTCTTCCATTGATGGGCACGTAGGTTGTTTCCATCTTTTTGCTATTGTACATAGTGCTGCGATGAACATGAGTGTGCATATATGTGTTCCTATCCTGGCTCTCACCTCTCTAGGATATATACCTAGTCATGGGATTGCTGGGTCAAATGCTATCTCCAATTCCAGCTTTCTAAAGAATCAGCATACTGATTTCCACAGTGATTGTATCACTTCACAATCCCACCAGCAGTATATGAGAGTCCCAGTCTCTCCACATCCCTGCCAGCATTTGTTCTTTTCTGTCTCACTGAACCTTGCCATTAGTGCTAGGGTGAGACGGTATCTTATTGTTGTTTTGACTTGCATCTCTCTGATGGCCAATGGTGGTGAGCATCTCTTCATGTATTTGCTGGCCACCTGAATATCCTTCTTGGTGAAGTGTCTATTCATATGTTCTGCCCATTTTTCAATTGGATTGTTAATTCCTTTGCTGTTGAGGCATTGGAGTTTTTGATAAATCTTAAGAGATAAATCCCTTGCCTGATACATAATTATGAGAAGTATGAATTTGTTGCTGCCATTTTTGTTATGTGCTTTATTGTGATGTCGATTTCTTTGTTGCATACAATTTTCTGTGCTGAGCTTGTTTTTTTTTAATGAATTGTGTTATCACTTCCTTCATTGCTATTGTTTTAGTATTTGCTAAATATTTGTGCTGGTCCTCTTTTTTTATTATTTATTTTTATTGTGATTTGGATGAAAGTTTACTGAGTAAATTCACTTTCCATATAGCAGTTCACATACACTTGGTCTCATGACTACAATTTACCCCATTGCAACAGTTCCCTTCCCACTTCCTCCCGATAGTTACCTCTTCCCTGTGTCCATCCCTCCGTGCGCTCCTGCCCCGTGAGCTGTCTCCCTGTGCATAAACAGCCCTTTGTCTCCCATGATTATTCTCTCCAAGGAGTGTATCTTCCTTGGGTAAATATTCAACTCATATGCCTATCTTTTGTTTGGCTGGAAGCCACAGGTGTGGGTTCAATTCCAGACATGAAGGGCAGCTAGGGACCATGGTCTCAGTGGTTCCACCAGGCTCTATCAGACCAGCAAACCTGGTCCCCCTTCCTCTTTTTTATTCTGATGTGAAGGTTTATCATTTTTCTTTTTTTGAAATTACCCTGTGATTTATAATTTTCTTCCCAAGTTTAGAACAGTCTGTTCTATCTTGTAGTTGTCTTGACTTCCCTACCATCTAGAAGTTCTGTAACGACACATTTCTTTTCCTCTTTTTGGTTTGTAGTTATCCTCATTTGTCAATTGATGTCTGTGGTTCCCTGTTTACAATCTTGTAGGCTTATTTATTTTGGATATTCCCATAGCTGGGCTGGTTTCTAGGTTATGTCATCACATGTGTTAATGGTCAGTTGTTATTTGCTGTTGTTGCTTCTCTGTCCAAAGGGCTCCCTTTAGCATCTCTTATAAGGTTGGTCTGGTTTTAACAAATTCCCTTGATTTCTGCTTATCTGGAAATGTCCTAATTTCACTATCATATTTGAGGGACAGTTTTGCTGGGTACATAATTCTTGGTTGGGAATTTTTCTCTTTCAGGATTTTATATATACCATTCCATTGTGTTCTTGCCTGCATGGTTTCTGCCAAGAAATCCGAGCTTAGTCTTATTGGTTGCCCCTTGTAGGTAACTTTTCATTTTTCCTGTGCTGCTTTCAAGATTCTTTCTTTGTCTTTGGTTGTGGTGAGTTTGATGATGATGTGTCTTGGTTATTTTCTTTTGGGGTCTATCCTGTTTGGGGTTCGTTGGACATCCTGAATGGATATATTCTCATCTTTCATCATACCAGGAAAATTCTCTTCCAACAAATCTTGGACAATTTTCTCTGTGGTTTTATTTGTCTCTTCCTGTTCTGAAATTCCAATTACATGTAGGTTATTCCTTTTGATGGTGTCTCAAATGAACCTTAGGCTTTCTTCATTTTGTTTTGATCTTTTTTCTGATTGATCGCTTTCCAAAGAAGTATTAAGGTATTTGCCTTCAATCTCACTAACTCTGTCTTCCATTGATTCAGTTCTGCTCATTTGCCCATTCAATGTCTTATCTATTTCTGAAAATTTAGTATTAATTAATCTCCTGGATTTCTGTGTGTAGATTTTGTATCATTTCTAATTTTTCATTTATTTTGTCATTTTGCTCTTGTATTGTCTTTCAAAATTGTTCTAGGGTTTTTGCTGTGTTTTCCTCAATTTTGTCGGTGTTTTCCTTGATCTGTCTCTCAATTCTTTGAAGATACCTAAATATAATTCTTTTGAATTCCTTATCAGGGAGTTCCAATGCTGCTGCTTCCTCAGGAATGTGTTTTGGGTCTGTATCCTGGTCCCTCGTTTCTCCTGCTTTATGTTGCTTCTTTGTGTGAGCTGTGATGCTCTTTTGTCTCCAAGGCATTGTGACATTTTTGTGTTTATATTTAATTTGTGATTGTATGTTTGAGTGATTTGCCCATGATTTTCATTTTCTTTGTATGTTATCTGTGAAAGCAGGGTACTGTGCTGTGTTCCTCTATTCACTTGTTGAGAGCACTTATAAACTCATCACCTGTCCCCTTTCCTGTTGTCACCCTCTTATATATCCCTGCCTTCCTTGGCAAACAGAGCCTATTCTTAGGCCCCTAGAATCCAAATGAGAATGCTGTCAGTTTAAAATCCAAAATGGCTGCCACTTGTAAAGATTCAAAATGGCTACGCCCTCAGTCAGTTTAAATATCCAAAATGGCCACTGCTTGTAAACATTCAAAATGGCTGTGCCCTTGGTCAGTTTAAATGGCTGCTGCATGTAAACAACCAAAATGGCCACGCCCTCCAGGCAGCAGAAAGTCCACAGCTCAGGCTGTCTCCCTCCTTGCTGTTTCCCTTCCTAGTCATAGCCACCAGCAGTCTTCCCCACAGCCTCTGGTGACCAGGGCTGATCTTTAGGTCAATTCTCAGGCCCCAACACCACTTGGAAATATTTAGGCTGTTGGTCCTGTCAGAGTAGCTGACAGTCCACTGCTCTGACTGTCTCTCTACTCATTGTTGTCATTCAGGCTTTTCCACTAGTTGGTGCCTAATCCACTTCTGTATAGTTCCTTTCAAAGCTTAGAGCTCTAGGATTATCTTCTGTATCTCTGTCCAATGGTTTCTCTTTTCTTTGTTCAACTCAGTAGTTCTGTGTGTAGCAGCCTGTACCACAAAAACGTAAGGACCAGTGTTCAAGGATGTTCAGTGAAACATTAATGAAACATTTAGCAAAACAGTCTGTCTACCAGTCAGAGAATAGTTGAATTAATAAGATAGATCCAGTCTATGAAATGTTATGTAGCTATCAAAAAAGATGAGCTGTATCAATCATCCTGAACAGACCGTCATGAGAAAAGCAAGTTCCAAGGTAATGTGGATGGTGCAGTCCAGTTTTTATTTTAAACACCCTTACATGTGTGCAGGGTAGGTCTGGTGGCATAGTGGATAAAGCATTTGGCTGCTAATCAGAAAGTGAGCAGTTCAAACCCACCAGCTGCTCCGTGGAAGGAAGATAGGGGCGATCTGCTTCCATAAAGATTTACAGCCTTGGAAACCCAGTGGGGGTTGCTGTGAGTCAGAATCAACTCAATGGTGGTGACTTTGGTTTGAATTTTTTACATGTGAGTTTGATTTTCATTTGAGGCAGCTGAGCTTCAGGCGAATGGAAGAGGGACAGCCATCCATTAGTGGCACAGGCAGAACCAGGCCTGCGTCTCCTGGCCCTCAGCCCAGCCCTGCTCCCGAGAGGCGGGTCCCTGAGCCCAGGAGGGAGGCCTTATGGGGATGGGGGGATGAGAGCCAAGCAGGACGGGGTATGAGGGGGACATTGGGTGGTGAGTGGGGGGGGGGGGGTATGCATGTTAGGGCTGAGGGCTGCCAATCAGGAGGATTCATCACCACTGACTGGTCTTCCTGTTGCCTCTTTTCTCTCCGTGGATTAGCCCAGGGGTATCGGCTACCTTGCTCAGCACCAGCTCTTTGACCAGGTAAGTCTGGAGACCATGCTTCTCTCTCTTTCAGCTTCTCATCTTTTCCTCCTCTCCCCCTCCTCGGCTCTGACTCAGGAGGCAAGAAAGGGTCTGGCAGTCCCTACCCACTGGTGCTATGCAGTGCTGCTCTCTGCAGTGGGCTCAGGAGCCCTTCTGTGGCTTACTCTGTTCCCACCTGACCAGCAGGAGGTACTAGCATAGGCGAGACTGCTAAGCCTGAGGCTGGGACACTAAGTCCAGGAACCCAGAACTGGGACAGGCTCCAGCATGGTGCAGTGCAGTGAATTACTTAATATGGCTCTTCTAGCCATGGTCTTTGTGTCACCCACCAGATGAATGGGTGGGACTGTGCAAATATGAAGTACTTGTGACCCACCAAGGGGATGAGAGAGCTTGCTAATTATGTTAAATAAGGTGCAACACCCTTGTGGGGGTGGGTCTATGCAAAATAAGGTGTGTGGAACCCTAACGTGGGGATTGGTCAGTTTGCCATCTGCTAGGCTTAAAATGAGCCATCACAGAGGCACCACGAAGAGAGGAGAGCCAGGATTGGAGTACATCCTTGGACCCGAGATCCTCATGCTGAGACAGCCAAGAGATATCAGAGAGACGGCGGCAGCCGAGGCCACAGAACCAAGAGCCTGGCATGAGATGGACAGCGGGCTCCCAGCTCCCAGTGTTTGGAAGCGGACCTTCAGGCAGGAAGCTTGCTGGGAGACTAGGGTACCTCTCTGGGTGCCTGCCAGCAAAGCTGAAAGAGCTTTGTAACACCAGCCGAGCAGGGCAGAGGTTGAGGGGCCGCAGGGCTGAGAGGCTGAGGCCAAAGAGAAGCATGCCCGTGGCATGGTTGAGAAGAAGCTGTCCTGATAGAAGCACTGTATCCTGAGTTGTTTCTGTTCCTGAATTGTAACCTGTTACTTCCTTCATAAACACCGTAATTGTGAGTATTGTCTGTGAGTTCTGTGTGGCCATTGCAGTGAATTACTGAACCTAGCAGAGAAGTAGAAAGTGCTGTGGGAGGGGCTGTAGGTGTCACAATTGGTAAAAAAAAAAAAAAAGGTGGGAGGGTGGCAGCATGTGTGACCTCAGCCTCATAGGAATCAGCCTTGGGCTGTTGATACAGTTGTTTCTCTCTCCTTCTTGGGAAGTTACAGGACATCTGATGCCTCTGCCATGCCAAATTGTGGAGGGCCTTGAAGCCCAGACTAGGAGCCTGGGTTTTATCTGTGAGGCATCGAGGAGCCTTGGGAGGTATTTGAGCAGGAGAGTTCCCTAGTAAGAGGTGGTATTTCCGGAGGAATCTGCCAGGAGCACCAGGGTACTTGCAAAGGAGGGTACTTTGCAGCAAGAGAGGCAGGATGTATTCCTGGAGGGCCCGGCACTGCTTCTGCTGCTGCTCCGGCGCACATCAGGCCCTTAGGGACAGAACATGAAGGGTTCTAGAGCAGCCCCAGTGGGACCCTGATGAGTGTCAGCATCATCAAAGCTTTCAGAAGTGCAGGATCAAAAAGAAAACAAACGAAAATCCACAAACAAAAACCTCAGCACAGAAAATTAAGTGGGATAAAGAAATAGTTGGCATCATAGAACACACAACAAATTATGGCAGTAAAGTCATAGCTACTGATAACCACACTGAAAGCACCAGTAAAGAAAGAAGGACAGAATGGATAAAAAACCACAACTCATTATCATTAGTGTGCTTTCCACAAGTGTTCTGGTTACCTGGTGCCACTCTAACAGGAATATACCACAAATGGGATGGCCTTAACAAACAGGAGTTCATTCTTACAATTTGGAGGCTTTAAGTCCAAGTTCAAAGTGCCA